GGTTATTTATAGCTCAGATTGGTTGCCATGGTTGAATACATATTCATCTGTACATGGTGTCCGCTAGCGAAAACGATTCAATTGACTCTTTACTATCACATTATGTAACTGCTCTTGTTTGGAATGGTTGGATTTGAATGACAACCACTTGTCGGGGTTTGTTGTGCTGAATGCGCAGTCAAATAAATATCCAAGGAAATTGCAAGTGTTAAGTCTAGGGTCCAACTACTTCAACAACTCCATACCTTCTTTAATTTGGAAGCTGCCCGCATTGCAAATGCTTGATCTCTCTTCCAACTCGTTTACTGATGAATTGCTTCGGGAACTTTTGGGATTGATTGCCTACAAGATCCCCTTGAAGAGTAATCTCAAGGCAAGAATTTGATTTCTATTCGTGAAGCGCGATGTGATGATATCGCTAAAGAAAGGAAAAAATTCTCTTGAGTTCGGATACGTGTTTAATGCATTAGTGTTGTTAGATGTTTCTAGCAATTAATTTACCAGAGAACTACCTGCGGATTTGGGCACATTGCATGAACTTAAATACTTGTTCTTGGACGACAACAATCTAGAAGTATCTATACACTCAGAGCTGGGAGAAATTGCTAACTTATAAGGGTTGAATTTATCTAGAAACCAACTTTCGGGTCCCATTCCAATGTCACTGAACAAATTGCGATTGAGTTACCTTAACTTGTCGCTGAATCAACTATGCAGTCCCATTCCTGTTGCAGATTTGTTCAACACCCGCTTTTCTCAATCTTTTCTTCCTGGGAATCCAAAACTTTGCAGCAATTCCATTTACAAGCCATGTGTATCTTTTGTTTTTTATATGTATATTATCAGATAAAATGTACATTATAATCTCACGATGATTTTTTTTCCCCGTGGACATAGCCCTTGAGGGTGAACCACTTTATTTTTTGTGTCTTGTGTTGATGGCTTGACTTGAGTCTCAAGTTCTAAGTTATCATTAACGTGGACTTAGAATTTAGTGCAAAATTCATTAAAAATGACATTTTATTAAACAAATGCTGCTTTTGCCACAATTGAAGTTTAACAGATGCCACAATTAAGTCTGTAAGTGATGTTTAATGTTTTTTGAGTCTATTGTGAACATAAATTTAAGTAAGGCATGATCATGTGATTGATATAATTTCCAAAAAAAAAGAATTTATGTATACTGCAAAATTTTTTTGAAATTCTAATGTCAAAATATTTTGATTATGAAATCAAGATTTTCTCTCTTCCTATGATTGAAGTTAGGTTATGTCACTCATCTTTGAATGAGGTTTTGAGGATTTTGAAAGTTGGCACTATTCAGTTGAAGTCTAATATCCTCATAATTAGGGTCAGAAAACTCAAACTCATTTCTTCTCATGGACTAAAGCTCTGTGCTTTGAGTATACTTAGTGAATAATCATGCGAACTGTTTATGAACTTTTCTAAATTCTAGTTAAATATCGCTTTGGATGTCCGGTAAACATAACATGAAGTGAAACCTAAATTAGCCATGACGGAGAAACAACACTGGCTAACTTTCTTGTGAAATAAACTCAATCTCTTATTATTTCAAGACTGTCACAACATTTTCTCAATACAAATGCCACAAATGCTATTTTTCAAACATTTTGCGAATCAAAATTTAAAAAAGATGACAAAAGTGACAAATGCCACATTTAAGGAGTTATGGTTTAATGATAGAGATGTCATTATAAAGTTAATGTAGATTTCTTCATGCAAACCGAAAACCATGGGATGATTTACATTAATATTTGAGAGGATTTCAATATATCAGTTGTCTATTCCTACCACATACTTTGCACAGTCCTCTTCATATATCACTAATTTAATATATAAAACAATGGATACTTTTGAAATTTTGGGGATGAAACGTAAATGCGAATCGTCAGAAAATAAGTATTATATTTAAAACTTTTTGATCCTTGTAAAATATTGCGCTCCACATGACTTTCCAAAATCTCACATTGTCCTAGGATGCAGCCCAAACCACAACATCAGAGATCGTTGGAGCATTGAAGTTTTGAAAGCTTCGATGTGGTTGATGTTTGTATTGCTGGCTTAGGTACAGTGCGATTGTACCATAATGGCTTCCACATCATAACTGTTCGACTCTGTGATCTCTTACACGGGTGATCACTCATATGTCCTGGTGGACCCTCACACAGTCTGTCCTGTCCAATTGTTGAAACTGAAACTGGCTGAAAAACTTTACCGCGAAATTGGAAAGGACTTCGAGAGAATTAAGTGACTGGAGTATTTCACTTCAATTTTTTCGGAAATTCCAGCTTGGTATGTGAAGTTAGAGTTGAGGAAAGGTGTGTTCTTTTACTTTGATCTCAACTCAGGATAATATTCCCGAGCAAAAAGCCTACAACCATCGAAATACAGTACTTCACATTGTGCCAATTGACATACGGTGGAGAGTACGTGTACGTTTCCATCAGTCCGGCCATGTAAACTGATTGTCCTGATCAGGGAGATGAAGCGGTGGGCTAGCTCTAGGTCTTGGACACCTTGCCGAGGCCACTTGTATATGGCGTGCTGCACATCATCTTTGCGACTTTGGGTCAAGCTGTATCACGCAGACATGAGTAATGTGGGTTACCTCACTATCATATCTTGGGGATGATATGATAGTGATTGCCTTACTTTATGCTTGAAAAGGTGACCCGTAGACGTTGTGGTAATTATTCAAGGGTTCTTTGACTTTGAGGTCCCGTCTCCAAGAAATGTTCTGACTTTCGTTTTCCCAAAGGTTATCGACATATGTTACTCATCGACCTCGATCTCAGATCTGCAATCGCTCTGCAGTGAGGTAACCCTGTGGTAAGGTTGGAACGCACAATTCTGGTCATGGCAGTAAATTGTAATGGCTGGACTTTGCGGTTGTGAAATTGATTGCGGAAAAGTTCGTACACTGCCACCCTTTATGGTGCCTGTCCGTAGGGTGCACTGAATGATGAGATAGCGTACGTGAACCAAGTCAATCCTTGTGACAGAAAGTGCAGAATATTGGGGCGTGAAGATTGTCATTCTGAGGTTGATCCTCATTGTTCTATCGACCGAAACACTTAAAAGGAAGTACAGAAGGCCGTGAAATAGAAGCACCGACTGGCACACGAACATGTATGTATGGACGACAAAGGCTCCAATCATCTTGCGGACGGGATGGGAAGACAACATCAAATCCTGAAGGGATGAAACCGATGAAATCTCTATGCTTAACATGCACTCGAAGACATTATTTCTTGCAGCTCCATTCTTGTACTATCTAGAGTATGTACAATTATCCACTTCAAATCAATGGCATGTGTATATGTATGATGAATAATCTAATACTCTATTACTCCCTAATTAAAATGCAATTATGTCATAACTCAAGATTCCCTTAAAAAACATGAAAGTGTTACTCTAGTTTGAGATTAGAGTCAATTTTTTTATAGAAGACAACATACATTCTCCTGGTAAGAAATACTCATGACATAACGAACAATTCAGAATGCCTTCATCTATGATAATATTAAAGCATGCAACAAATCACATGCATCTTAATATATCTAAAGAAGTAATATTCTATATATCTATATTCTTAGCGATCTTGTTGAATGACTATCATCAATATCACATCATGTGTAGTGTGTAATCACAGTTCATTCTGCAATGAAATGATACTCTAGTATCAAGCATAGATTATTTTTGTTCCGACTTGACTACAATGCATTGAACAATTTTCATGTAAATTTATCATCCACTCATGTCTAACAAACATCAATGCATAATCATTGTACAAATAGATATATAAGTGTTCAGATAATTATCATTCAATATTAACATTGTCACATATATATTAATACCAAAAAATCATTTTGAATAAAAAAGATACAAATAATTAAATCAATATAAGACAATCTATCCAGATAACAAATATATATCATGTGAATTTAGCATTATCAATGCATACTTAATGACATTTCTTCAATATGCATCCTTACAAGAGCAATAACAAAAGAAAAATCTGTACATTTACATTTCATGTGATTCATGAATTTTTGAGTTGAAAATAGTTTTGAAGAAAATGATTTTTTTACCTGCTGTTTTAAAATTTATGAAAATATGAATAAATATCATAAAATTATGACATCTAATGATAATTCTATGTCACAGAATTAACTTTCAATTTTTCATGATTTATAATATTACACAAATCAATCTAATAGCAAAATTTTCAATTTGTCATATTTGAAATAATTGTGCAAATCAGAACCTAAAATTTAGTTTGAATCACATACATTGTTGTTTTTTTGCCTTACGATTCAATACATAATCTAATATTTATAATCAATGAAAATTCTTTATAATGCGTAATACAAAAGAATGATAAATTTGATCAACAAATGAAAAATCAAAGGAAATAGAATGTTGCAAAGTGCATCAGAAAGTATGTGCTTACATAAAGTCAAATTTCAAGAAGCAATTTTTTGATTTCACATACAATATTTTCATTGAAGATGGATCATACGAATGAATTAAAAACCATAAAGACTATTTAACAACCTCAAATGTAGCAAATGAAAAGGGGATGTTGGAAATGATTATAAATCTCAATTATGATAGTGTCATAATATATTGTAATTGGATTATTTCAAAATGATTGCTGCAATTTTCTGAATTTTTTTACTATATTTATATTTGGCCTTAAAAATTTTATATTTTAGTTATTGAAAAAAATGAGCATATTATCATATGACTTAATAAAATTTTTGAATATAATTCTTCATTTAGTATAAAAAATATCTCATGAATTTGTAAAAAAAAATTCTCATGAATTTCGTATCAATTCAAGTTTCAAATAATAAACCGATTTCTTCAAAAAGTAAAGCATTACGGAATGATCTATAAAGAATAATAAAATCTATAACAGGGTAATTTCAAAGTAGCAAAAAAAACCTAATCTTCAGTAGAAATGTTGTTTGGTGTAAGGGAGAATCCATGAAGATGTGGGTTTGCTGTATGAGAGCCTTGGCGTGAAACTTGTGTAAAACAAATGGTGTCACTTGTTGAGAAACGTGAATTTCTTGTGTCGTAGAGAACAAGAGGAAGGGCACCATTTGAATGCAAAACTCGCGGGAGAAGGGATGTGAAACTAGCGAGCTGAACAAAAGCCAAGGAAAGGAAAGGAAAGCGGAAGGGAAAGATAGACTGAGACGGAAAGATGAACCGGCTTGCGAAGTCCGGACCGGGCAGCCATCTTTCTACGAGAGCAGGCGTTCGCGGGCATGAGAAAGGCCACCGGCTTGTCGTTGGTCTCGAGTGTTGAAGTTGCTCGGCGGTGGTTATGTGCACTTTTCTCGCACTTTTCCTCGTCACCTCGACTCGTCCTGACACTTGTCGGTCCGAAGTGGCAAGCCATGACTTCTCACACATGGCGCGCCTGCCTGTGAGTCTTCTTCAGTTTCGCTGGCTTCCAGATGACACCACATTTTGCCGACGAAGAACGAACGCGTTTCTCCTCAATTCCTCTCGCCAGCCCTCGAGTTTCATCTCTGCCCTCATAAGAAATTTGCACATAAAAATTGCACACGTTCCATTTTCCTCGTGTCGCAAATTCTTAGCCTCTGATAAATTCCGCCGTATGTCTGGTCGCAATTTAATAAACATCCGTGTTGTTAAAATCCCTCCCGGGATCCGAGTTACAAGTTCCCGAGTTTGCTAAAAGGAACGGGTTGATGAGCGCAGAGAGATGGGGGCAGTTGCGGCGTGCGTCACGGCAACGTTGCATTCGCATGGGTTTCGAAGAAGATCCGCGGAGGAGAAATTGGCTGTGACGGAGACGACGAGGGACAGCCTCGTCGTTGCCGCCGGGACGCCTTCTGTTAGACGATTGGAAAGCTCTTGCGCTTGCTCGTTCCCTCTTTCGGCGGTTGCGAGCTCTTTCAGGAGTAGATTCGAGGGTAGATTTGATGAGTGGGGTAGGAATTGGAAAGTTGCAACGCCGGTGCCTGATCGAGCCGAAAGAGGGGGAATTCAAGAAGTTGTCTCGGAGCAGAAATTTGACACCAAGGTGTCTGCTGCAAGAGGAGGGAAAATTAAATGCGACCCTCTGCGAGTCGTTTTGTTCCAGGTGAAAAAGACGTAACTGCTTTCCGGGCTTTGTTTGTTCATATCTGGGCTGAGCTTGAAGTAAAGCCGATCTCTTAGTAGCAAATTTAAGTGGATTATAATTTGTCAACAAGATTGTGCCTCGACAGTTACCTCGTCACCAGGACAGAATGTTTTTTTTTTTTTGGGGGGGCTTTTCCAGCGATAGTTTTCTCTGTATTCGACGGGGCTGATACATTATCGTTCTTATGCAGGGCTTTAATTGGGAGTCATGGAAATGCGGCAAGTGGTATGAGGTTCTCCAGACGAAGGTGAAGGACCTGGCGGATGCTCAAATCACAGATATCTGGCTACCTCCTCCCAGTCATTCCGTGGCCCCACAAGGTACCAAATGTAGGCCATGATTGTTCCATGCTGGACCTAAAAAAATTGCCGGTTGCTTCGAGATGCGTGAGGCAACCATCGGACAGGGTTCAGTCAAGACACTGTACTATTGTAGATCTGACAATTCGGATATTTCGTTATCCGTAATTCTGACATGTAGAATAGGTCAGTCGTCCTGTGACGTGGTCACAGCAGAATAATTAGGACTCTCTTTCTTTCAGATTCTGCAGGGCAATATTTAGTCGCAATTTCGTCTTGTTTTTCGTCGATTTTTCCTTGTTCTAATCGATGTCCCCGATGCCCTTATGGGTCCCAGAGAAGATTTAGCTTCATTAGTCTCTTGGATTCTGTATTCAGCTATCGTCTGCTCGACACGTTCGTCGCAGGGTATATGCCTGGGAGACTCTATGACCTGAACTCCTCCAAGTATGGAAATGAGGAGCAGTTGAAGAGGTTGATTGACGCCTTTCATGCAGTAGGGATCCGAGTCATAGGGGACATTGTCATAAACCATCGCTGCGGGGATAAGCAAGATTCGAGGGGAGTTTGGTGTATATTTGAAGGGGGTACTCCCGATGAGAGATTAGACTGGGGTGCATGGGCGATCACGAGTAGTGATGGAGCTGGAGATGGCTCCGGACAACCGGATACCGGGGAGGATTTTGGAGCTGCTCCTGATATCGACCACACGAACGAGCGAGTTCAACGAGAGCTAGCAGAATGGTTGAACTGGCTCAAAAACGACATCGGATTTGATGGCTGGAGGTATGATTTCGCCAAAGGGTACCATGGCAAGTTTGTGGGCCTTTACAATGAAAGGACCTCGCCTCTGTTTTCGGTTGGGGAGGTTTGGAGCACTATGAACTATGGAAATAATGGTCTGGAATATAATCAAGACAATCACAGACAAGGACTCGTCGATTGGGTGAACGCCACGGGTGGGCGTTCAACAGCGTTTGACTTCACCACCAAGGGAATTTTACAGGATGCCTTGAGGGGACAGTTGTGGAGACTCAAAGATCCTCGTGGTCATCCACCAGGTTTGATTGGATATATGCCAGAAAAATCTGTAACATTCATTGACAATCATGACACTGGCTCTACTCAAGGTCACTGGGCCTTCCCTTCGGACAAAGTCATGCAAGGATATGTCTACATTCTTACCCATCCGGGAATTCCCTGCATAGTAAGTGTTCGCTTATCCTTATTCAGAAGCCTCGAAATTGGTGTACTCAATTTTGCAGAGTTTTGCAGCTACTGCTATGCCAATCCTTTAATGCTGAAGACGTGAAAGTGGCCTACAGATATACGCACAAGCTTTCACTAAAGTTATTATATCTGAAAAGTTACTCATGTTGCTAGGTTGGAGCAGATTAGTCGTGGAATATGAATTGTGTGTTTTGTCCCCACTGATTCATCCTTGTCAACACGAGTGGCAGCGGTCTCATTTCTCTCTTTCTGATAATGTGCAGTTCTGGGATCATTATTTCGATTGGAAAATACTGCAGTTTGGAATCAAAGAGCTTATAGATGTGCGCAAACGCAATGATATTCGAGCCAACAGCAAGCTTGACATTTTGACGGCAGAGCAAGATCTGTACGTGGCTAGAATAGATGACAGATTGCTAGTGAAGATTGGTCCCAGACTGGAAATAGGGCATCTGGCTCCGCCCTTGAATGAATGGAATGTGGCCTCCCTTGGGGACGGGTATATAGTATGGGAGAAGAAGTCGAAGTGAAATCCAATTTTGCAACAGGCGAAATGATCCTCTCTCCAACGACTTGTAAAGCAACATGGTGCACCATTTGAACTACGAAGGCAGGAGACACCATTGCTTCCAGAAACATGAGGTTAAACCGTCAAAGCTAGAGAAGAAATAGAGCTCCACATTGGAAGTGATTTCCCTGCAAACAAGTGAAGATTCCTGTAGGATCCAATTCAGCACCGCCTTTTATACCTTAGTTGGAGTACAAAGGGGTACAAAGGGAACAAGTCATTCGTAAAGAAGGGAGGGATACTATCATTGGAACCGGCCCTTCGAAAGACAAGAAATTGATCTTTTACAATTACATTTTTAAAACATTATCTCACCCTTATAAGGGTAATTCGATTGTTTCAGAGGTCAAGCTTGAACTTCAAATCAAGAGAACTATTCGCAAGTACATACTCACCTTGTATCTTCAGCTTGAACTTATCGGAAATAGTTGTAGCAAGCGATCGCTTTGACAATGCTCTTTCCTGTCAAGGACTGGGACTCCTTTCCAATCTTCTACCAATATGGAAGTCGCAGAACACCATCATCAACTCCCTAAACATATCGAGCTAAAGAAAATTAAACCTTAATATCAGAACTGCAAGATTCGAAAATGGTTTGAACTATGTTAATCGAGAATTTGACGGAAAAAAGTCTGATGTCTTCATAGAAACGATGTGAATGACGAATAAGAATGGCATTGAGCTTAGTGCGTGTAAAACATACCCACACGCGGTGATGCCATTTGATGTTACTGAATGTCGATGTTTTCCAAACGTTACCATTTATCATGAGTATCATCTCTTTGACAGGTGCCAATAAAGCTTTCATTCTCAGCATCATGCTCTGGACTTTACCTACCAGCATCACCAAAGCAGTCGGGAAATAGTTGTTCAGTTAGTGCGTTAACGACGACCTATTTCATGGAGGACTAGTTCCCTCGAAAATATTCATTCAACACGACTGGATAACCTGCACCAAACTGACAGTTCAGTGCTGCTCTCTTGAAAGACAAATTCACCACCTTGGAATTGGAAACCACAGCTTTGAAAGACTGCAAATAGTTTGCCACCGTGATCTTATCTCATGAATATTAAATCTACTCTGTCCTGGTCAAGTGGACCAATATTTACAAGAATATAACTTAACGCTGGGCGAATAGATAGCCTGGAGTGAAACTACCTACGCCAAGCGATTCAGACCTAGCCTCCCAAACAACGAAATACAGTTGTGCTGACATCGAATTTCACTTGACAATCTTAGCCAACGAATCGAATTATGTCAAAATTCTGTCCTCGCACTGAGTTGTCGGCATAGATTGAGCAGGCTTAACGTTAAGGGTGAAAAGCTCTAAATGGAAATCTCCTTGATTTCCATGTTTAAATCGAACGAGATAGACCAACAATCTACTTGATAGAGAATTGAATTCAATCGTTGCACAACTTGATGTGATTGTGGCCCATGTACTCGTTATCTTGGATGGTGGCTCCCCGATCCTTAACATCAACAAGCAGGGCCTCTACCCCACTGCAACCATCAGCAGTGCATGCAGAGCTCGTCATCGAATACAACCGCAACTGGCATGAGATGTCGCTTCAGTGGTTCGATCTTCGTCCGCTCATGGCAACACTGTCAAGAACAAATTCCTCTGACAAGATAAAGCTAAAAATTCACGTAAGATTCAAGGGAGTCGTCAAAATTCTGCATCCACGGCGTGTGATGCGTTCGAGCCAAGTTGCCCGTCACAGCAGAGACGAACGCATGATCGCGGTAGCTCATGATGTCCAGGGCCTTATGCTTATCCCAATCGACGCCCATCTGCTGCGTCTTGTCGACGAATTCCGGAGTGATGGGGCAATCCGTATGACGGATCAGCTCCTTGACGTAATCCCCCTGAAAGGGCTTGACATCGAGCTTCGCAAGAGCTGCCAATTCGGCTTCTCGCCACTTCCGGCTGTGAGCCACCATCTCCTCAGTGGACGAGGGCAGCGTCAATCGCCCCATGATCACATCCCTCACGTACCAAGCCTGCGCATCGAACATGGTGAAGCTGTAAAACTGGGCCTGCATCCCGAGATAAAACACTTTCGGATGAGTCTCCAAAACCACGCCCTGGTACAACCCCAATGGCCACATCCGATTTCCAGCCACCAGGCGCAGCTCGTCCCCGACCATGAACGGGAAATCATGCAGATAGCCCGTGCAGAGGATGATGGCGTCCACGTCCTTGCTGGACCCATCCTTGAAATGGCACGTCCTGCCATTGGAGTCCACCCTCTCGAGCAGGGGCACCTCCTTGATCGACTCGGGCCAGTTGCAGCAGCCCGTAGGGTTGCTACGGAACGTGATGGTCACCGAGGCGGCCCCGAGCTTGAAGCACTGGCAGGCGATGTCCTCGGCCGTGTACCCGCTGCCGACGAGCAGCACGTCCATGCCTCGGAACTCGCTCAAGTCGCGGACATCGTGAGCGTGCAGCACGCTGCCCTTGAAAGCTTCGAGCCCGGGGAATTGCGGAACATTGGGGGTCGAGAAGTGGCCCACGGCCACCACGACGTGATCGAAATCCTCGCTGTAGACCTTCGCCTCTGTCCCATTTCTCGCCGTGCTGCGGTCCTTGACTGTCACGGTGAATTTGGCCGTGTCCTCCGAGTAGCTGATCTTGCTCACCGAGCTATTGAACCGCACGCTGAATTTGGCGCACAGGTTGTACTTCTCGGCTCGGCCTCGGATGTACGAGAGGAGCACGGGGCGAGGAGGGTAGGAGCCGATGACCTTGCCGAAGTGCTCCTCGAACGAGTAGTCGACGTACTCGTTCACCTCCTTGGGCCCATTGATGTACAGGTCTCGGTACATGCTGCCATGGACTATCTCCCCGTGCTCGTCCACTCCTTTGCCCTCTTCGAATTTCCACAATCCGCCCACCTCTCCCTGCTTCTCGAAGCACACGATCTCGGGGATTTCTGCCCCCTTCTCAGCTGCCGAGTCGAACGCCCTGAGCAGGGATAGTCCCGATGGCCCGGCTCCGATCACTGCAACACGTTTCTTCATCTCCGCGACCATCTAATTCAGCTCTGGTCTGATCCAAAGTTGCCACCGCAAATTTTCAGCTTCAACCCCGAGATTGTCCGAGCGATCGGTGGCCGTCCTTAATGGACCAGTGAAATTGGATGCATAGCAGCAGAAAGATTTGGAGCTAATCGGGTGAACCGGTCGGTAGCAGTCGCCGTGGTTGCAGCAGATTGAAGAATCGATTTCGCCAAGAGGAAGATTGGAAGGATTCAGTGTAGCCCCGAGGTGGAATTTGCTTGCTCTGTGGGTTCCGTCTTTGCTGGAATTATGAACTACATGTGCGAACTTTTTCTGTCACCTTGATCGTTTCCAATAGTCGCTGATTCGAAGGTTTGTCCACAATTCAGGATCATTTTCTTCGCTTCTGCAGATTTGTGAGGGGATCCGACCTTGATGTACGCTCTTTGATGTAAGCTCCAGACTGCAGAGCAGGTCGATAGAAGTCATGGTCTCGGCGGAAATCGTGGGACGGAGTCGATCTGTAAAGAGTACGCGAGGCACTGAATCTTGCCTCACCGCTCCCCATACAACATCTGCCTCCATCAACACGTGGATACGTCTGCAAGCCTTTACCTTCTTCGAGCAGAGAATTCTCACTGGCTGGCTCTCTCTCTCTCTGCTTTTCTGCACAGGCTCTACTGGCTTCCATATTGTGGACCTTCCAAAAGCTTCGCCTCGCCCAAAGAGTCTGCAAGGACTTAACGAACCAATGAACGGGACTCTGCAGACTATGGGCCTGTACAATCTTACGCCGACTGTTTTGAATCTGCCTGCATGCCATATTAGTGGACAGTAGGTGCAACCAGTGCCATAGCTCCCTCCATGCATAGAAATTTCGACGACTTCAAGTTTAAGTCGTCGAAATGTTTAATGTCACCGAGAAGGGTTTAACTCTTAAACCCTTCTCGGTGACTTACATAAGAAATTCTGCCAAAACGAAACCGATCGTTTTGCAGTGCAGCCATTTGGAACTGTGTAACATGTACAATGCGTGTGGACTCACCGTCTTAGAAATAACATCCTGGTCTGAACAAAGGCAGCCCCAAGAGTTTAGAGTATGGGTCTGTATAATTGGATTCTTCGCGGCCTGCGTAGTATAATACCAAATGTGTTATACAACACTAAAGGTCCTCTTAATATGTTACCCTAGTCCATCGCATCCTTGGCCTAGAACATATATGTCTTGGATTCCCTCAAAAATATCAACGTAATCAAATTCATGACTGTTATCACCATTGGGTAATCTTCAAGTTGAATTTCATATCCACTATCAACCTTCTAATTTATCCCAAATAGCATATTTTGGTTTCCCTTGAGCGTTACACTTGCAATAACACCTCGAACATATATTTTTTAATCTCGTGAATTCACTCTAAAACGTGATCAAACTCTTAACTACTAGTACCATTGGGTTCTTTTCAAGTTCAATTTCATATCCACTATCAACCTTCTAATTTATCCCAAATAGCATATTTTGGTTTCCCTTGAGCATTACACTTGCAATAACACCTCGAACATATATTTTTTAATCTCGTGAATTCACTCTAAAACGTGATCAAACTCTTAACTACTAGTACCATTGGGTTCTTTTCAAGTTCAATTTCATATCCACTATCAACCTTCTAATTTATCCCAAATAGCATATTTTGGTTTCCCTTGAGCCTTACACTTGTAATAACACCTCGAACATATATTTTTATCTCGTGAATTCACTCGAAAATATCAACGCGATCAAACTCATAAGTTATGAGTTTGATCGTGCTAGTAGTTATGAGTCATAACTACTAGCACCATTGGCTATTCTCCAAGTTCAATTTCATATCCGTTATCAAGCTACTTTTCACAACGCGAACAACACTTGTGCGGACTCCTAGGGATTTCATCAAGTACCTTTTATTCTACAAGATATAGTTTGGGAGTGCTATACAATACCGTGGTATAATACTTCAATTATACATACACACTCCTGACTCAGGAGCCAACGAGATGCAGTAATCCACATAGGGACCAAGGACCCAATCTCACACAACACTGGACCACCCAGCTAACATCATGTTCATAAGTGAAGAACGAGAAGTAACACGTTAGCTTGTGCTCAATGACAAGGGCAACTGGCACCCCACTCCGTGACATGCTTCTGACTTGGATGAGGGTAGAAGAGTTCACGTAGTATTTTGATGTTGATTCATTCAGTAGAATCCAGCAGTGTTGCTTTGATAATAGAAGGATAATACTAGTCTCACTAGTTGGAAAATTTCAGGTCTTATGGAGTGATTGAGCTCTCTTAATGTGGCTCTTAATGCTCTCTCTTAGTGGCTTGAGCGCTGCTTTAGTTGTTTGATTTTGTATATCATCCTTTTGCTTGGGGTCTTCTAGAGCTATTTTCTTCTTAATATGAGTATAACTTGTAAATTTGTTGGCCCCATCTATTGTGATGATTCACCAAACTCAATATTAGTATGTTATGTGTGTGGTCTTTTATATTTACTCTACATGTCCGTGTGGTGAGAAAGTGTCTTGTCTAGTGTTGATTTATTGAGTTAAAAAAAATCATTCCGAGAAATAACTATACTACTTCCACTAGAATCAATCCTACTTGTATGAAACATGCGTAGTGAGCTACTATATGACATCCGTTGGTAGGGATTCGCTGAGTACCTATCAATTTCTTGCCATAAGTTCAGTTTCTTTAGCTTCTTGATTCATGACAATAGTCTCAAAACATCAAGCAGCATGTTTATTGTGAACTTGTCAACTACAATTGTACTTGAGTATGTATTAAACAATGTTGGTGCAAAACACGCAAGATATTATGACAGTACACATTAGACACCAAAATAAAATGGCAGTACACATTAGACACCAAAATGTAACGTGGTTCATCCCTTCGAAGAGACTAAATCCATTATGAGAAACTCACAAGTCAGAGATATATTCAAAAGTTTGTAGGTGATACACAAACCCTTGGGTAAAATAACCAAGGGTTATACTTCTAGCTATTTTTAGCTATTATATGATTCTATTCCATAACCGAAGTTAACATCAACAATCTACTCCTTACTTTGTATTAAGAAAATTATAATATCTATAATCTATAATGTTATTGTGCGGGAAAAATTAGACGGAAATTTAACACAAGTTCATTCTTTACACAAGAATTAGCTAGAATTAATATTTAACCAGTATAGAATAATAACATAAATAATTAATTAAAAACCCGCTAGTATAGACGAAAAAAACCTCGTAACACATATAATTATTTCTTAAAAAATTCTAGAAATAAACATAATACAATACAATATTTCACACAAGAGTTAACTAGAATAGCGCCGTAACCATCACATGATAAAGCAATTATATAAAAGAATAAATGAAGATACTATGCTCGCAAATTTTATTTATGATCTCCGTAGAAGTTGCATAGTACCATAATGTCATCTGAAATTCTCCAAAGAAATAACTTTGATCAATACATTCAGTTTACTGTCAATCTTGACTAGCTCAGACATATGCTAAAGAATTCTACCAATACCGACATTAATTTTAAATCGTAAATCACATAATGATCAAAATTTCACCACAATCATATCCATGAGCGATAATTTTCGATTTCGCTCATCATATTCATCGCTCATCATCATCACAATCATATTGTTCGATAATTTTTCGATTTTTCGAATGAAAAGATTTTGAGAACCCTCTCACTCTTTCAATAATCCAAGCTAAAATAAAAACAGATGCTTAAGCACGTAATTTTATAATGTAGATCTAGATACTCCAACCAGTCGCGTTGTCATATCTAACTGTCAAAAAAACTAAAGATAAGAGCAACTTCGGCATCAATTTTATACTTTTGTCAACTTCTGAAAATAATCATGATATACTATTCGCGCCGAGAGTTTTTCAACTTTACTCAATTTAACTATATTTTGATGAAGATTATTATAGATAGAATGTATTTTTTTCACGAACGTAATTTTTTTCTTACAAAATCTTCCAAACTGAATCTTTTTGAGAGCTAGAAGTGTCGACGAAATCTGCCCGTTCTATATCTCTAATATATATATGTGAGCAGATACCTAGAATCTGATCGTATAATTATTCAAAGCAATACATGGTTTTTGTAGAGAGTTCAACTTTGAAAGTTTAAATATTGTTTGACATAATTCACATCAGTATAGTGTTACTGGGCTAGTCTCATCGTGATGTTACTCTGGTTTGATGCTAACTAGTCTTAATTGTCACTAGTATATGATTGAGTTCAAAAATTCTTTGACACATTTAGTCTCATTCTCAGTAAACGTAACCGTATATTTAGTAGATCACAGCGTACTTCCTGTTTATACTAAATATTGCATGTATTGGTTATGTATCTCTTAATGTTACGTACCGACTACTAAAGTGCCCAGGCCCTCGTTTCAACTTTGTGACGCTTGATGGGATCTTCCCATCCTTCTTTACTATACTCTCTATACTGTACTGGCCCTTGTTAGATATACCTCACTGTGGCTCAGATCAGAAGGCTTAGCCTGATGCAGGTGCTGAATAGGAGGAACATGGAAGAAATAATGAAGCTTCTTGAAGGAAGTGAAGTTACGTCAAAAAGTCCAAATCAAGGCCGGACCAATTCACTTCAAACTTCTTGCAAGCATTTCACGAGACAGGAATAGAACCCAATTTATATACTATCACTCCTCCCAGATGTGCATAAACACTTAGCGTTGAAGCTCGTACCAGAAGGAGGCCATTAACTTCCAGCACATGTTCCCTTGTCTTCCTTTCAGTTTTCAGGGTGTCACATCTGTAGTGACAGCAACTACAGGACATGCCATGGAGGAGGATTATGACTCCATTTACAATAGAGCCGCTGAAAGTGAGTATCCCCTAAACATCAGAAATTTGACCAAGAAAATACTTCTTATTTGGGAAGATCAAACAGGGAAGCTCTATTCGACTTATCAGATCGTGACTAAAGAAAGACAGGCACATATAACTGGAAGCAGAAATCTGAGTCGACTTCAATATTTTGCGGTTTATGGTCGCAGACAGTGATACATGCGTGTAGCCGAATCCCTTTGGCAAGTGTTGGAAAAATTTGCTCGAACTAAGGCCTCGTGTGGATTGATGATATCTCCTCTTGTGAGCTTTTAAAGATCCTCAAGCTTGTCGCAAATTTAACAATGAGATATGAGATTCTTCCATTTGGTCGAAAGCTGGTTGTGAAGAGTATGTAAGGCTGCTCCATACAGGCAGACAGCTGCACCGTACATATGGGATTTCATAATAAGTCACCTCCACAGTTTCGAGATATAGATCAGAAATTTCTATATATGTTACTCCATAAGTAGATACCGATCTCATGTGCTGTCAATTGCCTCACATGGATTTTCTTCTGACTGACGGAGAAAATGCTTCGATCAAAATGATGTCGCTCAAGTCATATAGACCTCAAAACGTACTACTCAAAATATTATATAATTTGAGACAAAGAATCCTTCTAAGATAGAGACTGTCGATTGGCTACAAGATTAAATCAAGCTCTTGATCGCTGCTTGCATTTTCGGGTGGGAATTACCACAACCATGGGGATGTGCCCGTGGCTCATATCGTGTAGGAACTGAGCGTGCAAATTCAAGAGCCTTTTCTAAGTATGATGTGCTCAAGCGTTGTATTATTCACCTATCTCGTTGAAATTAGAACCTAGCATTTAGTGAAACCACTAAATAGCCTTGAAGTTCAATCCATGAGCATGCTTACTGCTGATGCTGGAATGTCCTTGTATTCAGTACAACTCTATGACTTTCATTGCATTCCAACATCGTGTTGCATCCTTTCATAATAGAATATAACGCATGTATGATATCCATTGTAGGTGATTATTTGGCCTTTCTACTTCCATAGTCCACTGATCTTCGAACTGTATCAGATAAAATGGTCTAGTAAAGCAGAGCGAAAAGTCCAATCCATGACCTCGCCAACAAACAACTCATACTGCACAGCATATGTGCAGTATGATAAACATTTTAGATCTCCTCTTCAGCTGACAAGATGCTTATGCCACCAACTAAAATCTGATATATCCTCTCGAATATTGGTGTGTAGCTGATCTAGTCGAACACAAAGAAATTCGAATCCCGATGAGAAAGTTACCATGGACATGGAAAATGAGTGCAGCTGTTCGGGGTTTAAGTGTGACTGGTACACTTCCAGGACATTCTGAGACAAAATATTGAATGATAAAGAATCAATAATGAGTATAAGCTTGCTGAAAGTAGTTGCCCGAAGTAGGACCGGTTGTTTTCTATGCTTCGTCATCAAGAGCTGCCTTTGAATTGCGTTTTAGTGAGATCATCAGGGTTCAGCTGTGAGCACAGAAGAACGACCACGATAACGCCTAGCTCCAACTCGTTACCCTACTCTCCGTGCAATGTGGTTGCAGCCATTACTTACGGAGCCAACCCACCACCCAATCCACTAGCAAATCACGTACCAGAAAGACCATGGTTGTGTGATTTCCTCACACGAACCACTTGCCGGAGCCACAGCTGTGAGAGATTTTAGAAGAGATTTTCAGCCAGCTCTGATGCTAGTGTCTTGGTTCCTGTGAGCATGATGATTGGGTCCTTGGGAAATCTTCCCGTCTAGCTCGGCAAAGAATTCCCGAACACGGGTTTGAACCCCTCACATTGTGATCTTGTCGCTTGACTTTATGCTACCTGCTATCAAAGCTCATCTTGAAGGTATCCAACAAAAGAATCCGAGTAACTCTGAGTTTGTACTCACACGATGACCGCGTTCTTGTGTGTAAGGCTCAGTCGAACAGAGCCTTGTAAAGACAATCAGTTTGGCTTCAGCTCATATACGAACAGCAGCTGGCCACCGTCGCCTCACTCGCCAATGAGGCTTGACAATTCTCCGGTGTAGCAATTCGCCAATAATCGAGTTTTAGAGCAAAGTATACCCCAGGGTCTTCTTAGAATTCACTGCCACTTTCTGAAGAGCGATGTGTGGCCCTGAACCGGCAATACTCCCTATACACTCATCCAAGACCATACCTCGCCCAATATTTGCTTTCTCACAATAAGGGAGACGAAGTGTCAAGGAGGAACTTTGAGAAGAAAGGCTGGTTCAGTGCCGAGGAGGAATTCTCAAAACTCCTCTTCGCAACGAGATGGAAACAGTGAAGCTGCAAATCCCACTGATTCCTTACAACTCCGCTTACAGAAGGCCAGAATTCAAGCCGAAGACTGAAGAAGGATCTGCAGAATCGCTCAGAAAAGCTTCCGGCAGCTTCGATGGATTCCAGCCCGTTCTGACCTGCATCTCTCTCGTCCTCATCGATTTCAGAGCAGAGAAGCTTCGATCGATGGCCATTGAGATAATCACGCCTTCGGCAATTCGCAAGACTTTAGAGATAACGTTCCCCTACGTGAGCCTATTCCCTCTTCTGAAATTCTTCCCCTCTCTTTCTCGTGTAAAATTTGACCGAGTCCCGTCTACTCTCGGCCATCGACACCATACAAACGCGGGGACCGTCAGCGACCTGTCGACACAGTACCTTCGGATTCACGAATGCCATCCCTTCCCCTGGCCCTTCTGGACCCGCACCCTTCGATCCTGAAGCTAGTCCGAAACATCTCCCAGGCATGGCTGATGAACGAGGATTCTCCGTATACACAGCTCTTGCTTCTGTGCTATTAAATTCATAGATTCTGACGATGGAGAACGAGTTCCAGAGCTCCGCCAAATCTTCCAGTCTGTGAGTCTCCTGAGCTCAGCAGGTTCCATTCAGATAGAATGAAGACTCGATCGATACGACGGTGATGGTGGCGATCGCTGAGTGTGGCAGGGCTAGAACTACCAACGACGCTATCCAATACAACGACGAAAGCCTCGTGACCTGTGATGTGATCGGTTTCTGCAAAAGTGCTTTCATGGGGTATCTCTTTCTTCCGGACACGAATCCCGTTGACTCAGAAGAAATAATAGAAGAGCATGTTTCTCGCGCCTGTCGCTCGTGCTGTACTGGTCGTCGACGGGAGTCGAGTATCCACCGCTCCCTGTCTGTAACCACCAGCAGTACCAGAACCAGGAGAGGACCGGCCCCAAACATGGCACTAACTGAAGCATGTCTCCTGCACTAAATTCGCAAGTTTTTACTGTTTCATCAGCAGAAACGCATCGATTTCTCGTCTTGTGACAGCAGCTTATCTCTCATGAATACACCAGACTGTGCCCACGAAGCCGAAGTGGAAAGAGGAGACGAGACGACTGTGAGCAGCTGAGAAGCTGTGTAATGGCGCCTGAAGTTTTCATATAGTTTGGAACACGTTCCAATCTTCCCCTCTCGGCGAGGGTAGGCGCGAGCGCTGCCTGTCCGGTGACAGCCGACAGCTCGAACGCACATGGGTGTCAGAATCGAACGCGGTTGAATTTACGGCTTTTTGTCAAACCATCAACTTGATGTCGATCTCAGGCAAACAACGGAAACCAAGCTGGATTGTCGCCTTCCGACTCGCTGTCGATCCACAACCTGGTCCAGAGTGAGTAAGTGAATGAATGAATCCCGGAACGGAGTCCGACCTGTTTGCGAATAAGATCTGATTAACTTGTTGCTCATCGGGTCTCACGTTTGGGCTGGCGCTGCCACCCGAGCAGCTCACATGGCTTCCTCTCGTGCTTCTATTTTCCCCCCCTCCTCACAGACCACATGATCCCACGTCAACGCGGTTACCAGTCGGGAACAAATTTAGAAAGCCTCGTCCACGTTGTTCGGACTGGCTGCTCTCTTCGCTGTATCGAAGCAGTGCACTTCTTCTCGTGTCCGAGAATGCCCTCTCTCCCTCCGAGCCACTCTCGAGCATATCTGAACCTATTCCCTGGAATCATTTATGGCAAAGTTCTGGAGATGAGAAAAATGCTTTTGTTGTCGATTAAACGAGGACAGTCCTCCGTTCGACCTCTGCATGGACTGCGATGTGGTAAATATGTCCCGCAAGTTCAGCTTCAGAGATTGAAGGCATTCCTGAGATGCAGGTGGACTTTCATTGAAGACATCTTTCACCGTCAGATTTTATGACGAGAACTCAAATCCGAAGCAAATCTCTGGCATGGCTTCTCCAGCTCGCCACAGCTCAGGTTTGAAAGTTCGGATAACCCCGCTGCTTGCGTGATTGAAACATTCGCGGCAGTCTATTCCTCTCTAACGTCAAGAAGATGTCGTGCGTGCTTCGTCTAAATCATAGCTGTACTAATATGGACCACGCCATCGATAGAAAAGTCTCTGCCCTTATTAGCAAAGAATCTGTGGGCTTAAAGCCCACAGATTCAGCCTTCGTTATCCACTCCTGAGTCTAACGTATACGGAAACATGTCGCTTACGGTATAGTCTGGTTTCCATGAAAGCATGCTGCAAAACGAGGGGCAAGTGTGATCATCCGTTGGACGTGTTTTCATATCAGTCCTCTCACCGTGATTAATGTCGTCAAATTTGAAAGGCTTCATTTCATGCTCTGACTGCTTGTTGGAACTTTGGTACTGTTCTATCTGAGCTAAGAAAATATAGTTTGACGACTGAGAAGTGAAAACGTTTAGTTAGAGTTGCTAAAACCTTCATCATAATATGCAATAACTCCTCAGCACGTAGACTATGTTAATGTAGACTTATGTTTACATCAACCGTTTCCATACAAATGCGCGTTTTACTTGATGGTACCCAACACGATGGTCCTGCAACCCACCGTCTCTCATATTCAAATAAAAGTTATTATAACTCACTAATTTGCTCTATACTGTGGGGATTGTCTTCCAAGGTTGTGTCTGCCAGAGTATTTTGGCGACTGGTTCATAGCCATGTCTGAGAAAGCGACGGGCACCATGAAGCTGAAGTAGTCCCGATATAATATTGCTTGGACTTCATCTTCCTGCCCAAAATAACCCCAGATCGTATTGGAAGATCACATACGTTGGGTTGTAAGAAGCTCGATGGGATCCATCTGGTAAAATAAATCTGTTGGGTCCCATCAAAAAATTTGAGTTTTCCGAGAGTATTATCAAGTTATTTTCTTGATAAAGTATAAACACCAACATGGGAGTATTGTCTTTAGGTTAATGAGTTGACCACAAACATAACACGCAACTTTTTTAACTGATTTAGTTTTCAATGATTATGAAATCCCCAAACTAATTTGTATTGTACTATGCAATTGAAATTCTGGATTGGTAATTTTTTTATGGGGATATTTGCATGCATATAAATCCTGTTTGTGATAAGAAGTAATTTTAATAACTGATTTTAAAGTATCGGGTGTGTCAAACTTGTGCTATGCTGATGACGTGGTTTGAAATTTGTGGATTGAAGATGTCCATTCTTATATATTTGATCAATTTTGGTTACTTTAGAGGTTATATAAGCACAAATGTAATATACGAGCACCTTCTTATTTACAAAAAAACAATCTACAGTAAAAAATACTTTGGATTGTCTTGTTTGCAAACGTTTGAATATCAGAAAAAAAAGTTAAGGCTGTATCAATCAGGATAAGAAAAGAAAGTAAAATTATTATCAACTCTGATTGAATTCTTCTAATTTTATCATTTGTCTTCACATAACAGAATCTCAGTTTTGGTTCAACCGAATTAAGTTTGGACTGATATTTTTATGAAAGTCAAAGGACTAGCTTCATTCTGAATATACACAAAAATGATTCATTTATCCTATTTCTCAGCAGAAATAGATTAGAAGAATCATTTTATTTTGAATTCATTTGATATTTTATAATCTAGATGATTACCCATTATTCTTTTCAAAATATGGTCTTCATTATTTTTGCAATGAATTAAATCATAAAAAAATGAATTAAATATTATTTTAAATACGTAGTTTATATATTTATAGAATAACTACTTTTGGAAATCTTGCAGTTTTATTTCTTATGTCTTTTAAGGATGAGAAATTTTAGGTTGATTTGATCATAAAATTGTTCTTTGTTGAAACTTTTGTTGTCAATAAAATTTTATTTTGAAATGGAGATTAAAAAGTATATAGAATTTTTTTATTGAATATAATCAGATTTTTTCTTTATTTTTCTAATCTTAGATACTACGAAATTATGTTTTTTGAATTTATTTCGTTTTATTAAATGAATAAATCTAATAATAAATAAATAAAATAATTATTTTACATTTTTATAAAAAAATACTTGAATATAATCCGATATTTGAAAATAAAATAATTAGTTTCATGTATGAAAACAACTTTGTGATAAATTTTAACAATAGTGTTATTTCAAATTTTATCAGATTGAAAGGTACTCTAAAATTTTCTTTGTTTTATTTAAAATAATATTGAATTATTTTAATTAAATTCAATATTAAATACATAAGAAAAATTAATATTATCATTATCTTTTGAAAAAATTAAAATTTATAAAGAGAATGATCAAAAAAACATCCATGATGATTAATTCATCAATTTGGGTACTGTGATGTCTACGATACATTTTTTAAGCAAAATACATCTAATATTTACAAATTTTAGGCAAAATACATCCAATATTTACATATTATCATATTAGCTTAAGGCTTTTAGCTAAAAGCTGAAAATTTATTTTCTTCATTTAATTTTATTTACTTAAATATTAAAATTTTGAAAACTATGAGACTTAAAGAGATTATAATGTTTTAACAAAAAATGAACATAATCAGATTAATTCAATATAAGACGAAAAAATGCGCCATTAGATCAATGGAACTCTAATTCAAAAATATTATGTGAAAATTTTAGAAATTATTGTTTAAAATAAATTAAGGGAATAAATATTGAAGAAAAAACTTCGACCAAAAAAAATTCAAAAATGAGTGAATAAGATTTCAAACTGAAAGTAATTCAAATCTATCAAATCTAAATTTTTTTATTTGAACAATGGATGAAAAAAAATTAAACTAAAGGATGTATGATTAAATTTAAATTTAAATATTTGCATGGGAGAATTCATTTTTATAATGCTAAAAAAAAATAGAATGAATGAATTTGAGGTTGAAAAATGCGGATTATTAGAAAACGTAAAATATTGCAGTTTGAAAAATAATAACATGTATAAAAAATCTTCTCAATTAAGATTATATCTTTAGAGCAAAAAGTATCGAATCAACTATATATTTTGCAAATCATCACATATTTTTCTTTGTATTTCATCCAATTTCACTTGAGCAGAGTAAATTTTGTCTTCAGAATATGTTTTTTTCATACCATATTTTTTCTTTGATCATGCTTTTTTTTCAATAAGGTTCACAATATTAGGTTCAAAATTCTTTTTAAATTCATGATACTAAGTGTTGATACATTTAATTTTTGTAAGTTGGATTCAAATGATTTCATGATTATCAAACAATGTGACAAACTAGTTTTTCTTGTGACAAATCAGCATTATTGCAATTTTAACTTAAAAATGTTGTGTTGTTGTGATATAAATATATTTTGAAATTCATTTACTTTCAAAAATTCATTTACAATAATATTCAATCAACTACGTATGAAATTATTTTCTGATAAATTTTATTTAGGTGCTTTTTTATAAAATTCATCAATTCAAAGCAAATACTCTAGAAATAATATATTCCTCTAAGCATTCAAGATTTAATCATATATTTGAATTTTATCAGTGAGTATAATATTTTATTAACTTCAATCATGTACAATATCAATATAATCTTATATATTTTAAAAATGAATAAAGAAAAAATGAAAATAAACAAGAGAAATAAAAAAAAACAACATGGTATGTATTTTTTGAATAGTTGATCAAATATTATGTTTTATTTGATTTTTAAATAAAAAATATTATTAAAATATCATATATTGATTTTTTAATCATAAGTATTGTTCAAAATATTATTTAAAATTAAATTGAATATTTAATGATTATATAAATAAGTTTTCTATCATACAAAACATCAATGTATTTCAATTCTTAAACCAAGAACTGATAATACATTTTCTGAAATTTATTGATAAAACATGGATTTCATATATTCTTATTGTAACTATAAGATAAGTAAATTTCAAAATGACGAGAAAAAAAATAATTAGATTAATTTTTAGATTTTTCATAACATAAAAATAAATTTAAATTTATACAAAAATTATTGTTTGTATTATTATTATTTTCAAATTTTGTCATCTTTTGATGATAAAATTTAAGAAAAATATTAATTTTTTTAACATTTGTATTCTGTAAGTGCTATTCATGCAAGTGACAGTAACTATTGACACAAGATGTAACGTGAACCAACAGGATGCTACAAATGCTCACGAGTGATAGTATACTGAATAGTGTGTTGTATTACACAAAGCCGGGGTATACATACTCCAGCACCAATACCCTTTGAGCTATTTTTAGCTAGGCTATGAGGTTATCACTTAACTAGATATAAACTCAACATATTTTGTCTCAATATTTATTGTCTCTAAGAATAAATACTGAGAAATTATAAATTATTTAGCTCTTTCTGGATTAAGAACAAAAATGTATAAAGAAAATGATATTTTGCCTTAGTGATAAATTTAGTAATATAAGTTGGAATTTCAATGATTTTTATAAATTTTATGAATGTAATTTAGCTAAGACAAAAAAAAACTTAAAAAAAAAACACATCTATATTAATATTAACCTTAAAACTTTAATTTATTCATGAACAAGATATTAATTTATGAAAAGGTTTTATCAATTATTTAAATAAAAAAATGCACATAATTGACATAAATAAAAACGACATTTTGAAAAAATGAACACTGTGCATGTAACAATGTGTCAATTGTGTAAAATCAAGAATCATTCACAAGACACTCATATAACGTGGTTCACCCTTGAGGGCTACGTCCACGGCTGGAACAAGTGAATACACAATGTTTCGACTACACTAAGAAGCCTTGGCTTTGAAGGTATATTTATACCTACAGCCAGCAACACACATAACTATAAATAGCTAGAGCCTGAGTTTACTCCTTAACCGGAGATAACCTCAACAATCTACTCCTTAACTCGTGTTAAGGAAACAGTAACCTCTGAAACCTATATTATTACTCAACAGGAAGTTCTAGACAGATGCCTATCACAAGGAACCTCTTTATACGAGAGTTAACTAGAACTAGACCGTAGTCATAACAGGATAGAGTAATAACATAAAGA